TAGAACAGCCATAATATTTGAGAGATTGATGGAACCTGAATTATTGGGAGTAAGCTTAATCCTATGGATGGAGGAAAAAAAAGAAGAGCCATGTAAAAAGTGGCAAGAACACTGCTCTCTCTCTCTCTCTCTCTCTCTCTTTTAGTGGGTGGCAGCGCCGCCCTCGACCGCGGCCCATCCGTCCGTCGGGTTGCACTTGGCCTTGTGCGACAGCTTCCAATCCAGGGCTTGGCACGCCCTCGAGCAGTAGTTGACGAGGCCGCACACCGAGCACCGCCGGAACTCATGCCGCCGCGTCTCCGGCCGCCCGCAGCCACGGTGGGAGCAGAGCCTCAGACCCTCGCCAGCCGCGCCGGCACTCGCCCCGAACCACTCCGCCAGGAACTGGTTCGCCGGATGCGGTTCCGGGGCCGGTAAGCTCCAGCCGTAGTCGCTGAGGAGCGGGCAGCACCCTGGCAACGTTATGCCTGCCGCTGCGGTAGCCTGGCGGCGTTGCTCCTGCCACGCGGGCCAGGACGAGACGGCGGCTGCGAGCTCCCGGGCGTTGGCCTGAATCAAGAAGCGGCGGCCCTCGGTGACGTTTCGGCGGACGCCGTAGCCGTCCTGGAGGCAGTGGCCGATCTCCCGGAGGGCGTCGACGTGTCCGAGGAACGCCGCACGGGCGCACAAGGCGGCGCCAGCTCGCAGATCTTTGTCAGTCTTGGACCCGCCGCTGCCATTGAATTGGATGATCGCCAGCGAATACAGCGCAGCGGCGTGCGATCCGATCGCCGCCCTGGCCATCAGCGCCGCGCCGCTCCCCCTGTTCTCCAAAGCGTAGAACCGAATCTGATTCCAAAGAAAAACCAAAACTTGAATCCAACTCCCAAACGTTCTTCACTTCCAATACTACAAGTTCACCGAGAAACATACCATCCCAAGAACATAGCTCGCTTCGAGATTCCCGCAATCCACGCACCGCTTGAGGAATCTGTGAGCCGAATCGCACCATGACTTGGCTCGAACGGCGATGCAGCTGGCCCCGGCCTTGGACAACACCAGAGGGCGGTGCCCCAGAACATGAAATCTCTTACACCTGCCGCAGGATACTACAAAAATCAGTTTTTTATGCACAATATCGAACAAAGATTCAAATTTTAGCCTATCAAACATGTCGGAGAAGCGAAAAAAGAGCCAGATTAGTAGTCGTACGTCAAAAGGGCGCTTATAAGATCCGACGGGCGATCAGCGGAGGAGCTCAGCTCGGAGAGCACGGACACGACGATATCATCCGGAAGCCCGTCGAAGTAATCGACGCTCTCCTCCTCCGTCGCTGCCGGCGCCGGCACGGCCGAAGACCACGGCCGTTTCCGGGCGCAGGGTTCCAGACCCTGCGAAAGAGTCGGCGGCCCTCGCCTCCTCTTGCACGGCTTCCTGCACGCCGCGTGGTCGTTGATCTGCGTTGGCGGTCCCAGGCATTGGGAGGCCCTTCTGGTGTTCATCGTCGCTTTGCGAATTCGCAGCGAGGCCTAGGGGAAGGCGAGCGGCGAAGGAAGGCGCTCTTATAGGCGGAGAAGAAGCAACCATCGTATCTATGACTTGTATTGAGAATACGAATCCCGACGTGGACGACTCGGAGTAGACTCCCGCAAAGGAAGATACCACCAACATGAAACTTGCCTTCCATGGAAGAAGGGCGTCATCTGGTGGTGGAAACACGGTAGGATTGAAGTCACACCAGAATCATAACAACGAAATCAAAGCTTTTACCTATGAGTTTTGATCCACCCCTACCACATTAATGTCTTGACCAACTCCTCATTAGGATTAGGCAAGAAGGTTGTCGTCTTAGATTCCACCATGGGAGGCCAGATTTAGTGGCTTAATTTGTGTTAGTCCAAAGGAAATAAAAGACCATCCATATATTATTAACAGTATCCTTGCAAGAACAAAGACCATCTCCGCGCAATATGCAACGATAGATTTGAGAATCTATTAACTGTGGCGGTTACAGCCGATGAATCGAAACGGTTGTAACTAACTCAGGTAAGAGAATCTGTGGCCAGATTTTTTGCAACTAGAAAAGTTGGTTGGTTTTCTGAAATGGGGCAGTGGATTTCACTTGAAAAGCTCCAAATATAATTATTGCTGGTGTTAATTAATTAGAGTGGAGAAGGTGAATTAAGTTAGGTTTTGGGTAAGAGTTTGTTAAAGGCCGCAAATTACTCAGGAAAAGCATGACAATTTTCTGATATGTTTTGTTTAGATTGGGATAAATTTTTTTTCTTCATGTGTAGGAAGTGAAACAGTTATTATATATTTTAGGCATTTTAGTGAGGGCAATCGATATTTTATGACTTTTAAATTATGATGAAATTTAGTTTTTTGCAATTATTTTTCTCCTATATGTTTCTGTGTTTTTTTTATATTTTATCTTGTTTTGATGAATCCGATAGATACTTTAAGACCTGTCGATTGGGAATTGGTGAGTGCACTGATTGAGGAATCATGTTCTTCTTAATTTATCAGATTGTTAGATTATTGATGAGGACAAGATCTATACAATAGATGTGGAATTTAAATTTAATTAGAAATAATTTGCTAAAATATAATGGTTTAGGAAATCTACTCCTTAGTACTACTGTTTGAGGAAAACTCTACCAAGAATTGCTTCTTTGTGATATTGTCCTGTCATAAACCAAATTCCAACAATGTGAGGTTAATTATAGGAATTTTGTTTTTTCTTGTCATTGAGATATGTACAAGGTAATATATTAATATAAATCATCATTATTTAAATTTTTATTCTTATTTTCTAGTAAAAATTTATTCAGAATCTCTCTCTCTCTCTCCTTTCACTATTAGTATCAATTATCACATCTTATTTAATTACCATATTTATAAGTTCTTTAAATAAATCATTATTATTTTTAAATAATTTTTAAAATTTTAGCCTCTGAATCTAATTATTTATAAATAAAAATAATTTTTCTTCTATATCTGTTTGCTGTTCGTAGAGGTTCCTCATTAGTGATTGTCGTGATCACTGATTGTTCCTCATCGTTGATCTCCTCCAAGTTGGATTTTATTGGTCTCGACGGATGGTCTCACCTCTTACCATGCACGGATGCATCTCATGTGATACTGTAATGTTATTCGCGTGCCGCTCTTTGGATGATGTTGAGTCTTGTTTTGTTCCTAAATCGTATTTTGTATTTTGTTCCTTCTTGACCTCTCGTCCTCACTTTCAGGAATTGAGTCTTGTAAAACTTTTATTTTCTTGAAAATTCTATTTATGGATGCTGGATTTTTTATTTTCTACTTTGAGACTTAGAATTCAAAATAAATTCTTTTGATCTTAGGATCATGATTTTCAATTTGAGAGGATCAATTTTTTTTATAATTTTAATTTGGGTAAAACTATTCAACTATTCTCTATTTACGTAGATTCTTAAAATTTTCATCTATGTTACTATTGGTATTGGGAAACCTTTACTTATGAACTAGCTCTCTAAGAAAAAGGAGCATATATATTGAAGTTTCGACTACTTCAAATCTCCTTGATATCCTGTAATTTTTCATTTAGTGATGCTAAAGACTATGCTATTAGACTGAAATATAATTAAAAATCAATGAGATATTCATATCTTTAGACATACTATCAGGATTTGGATGAAACACACACTCTCTACTAAATCGATCATGAAGCCACCGACGTTATAGACTAATATCACATATAGATGATACAAAAGTAAATATTTTCAAACAAATTCATCCCTTTAAGAATATGTTTACACATAATAATTTGTGCAAATAATTAACTAAACTATTTCTTGAATTTTTAGGTGGCTCAAATGCAACTTTCAAATCAGTGTCACATAACCAAAATATCCATCACTAAAGTATCATGAGGCCATGACTCTATCCAGTTGCTTATTCACATTGTGTGATAGTATGTCAAACCACCTACTAAGGGATAGAAGTAAGTTGACCAATTAATCATAATTAAGGTGGATGTTGGTGTTCTTGATGGAAGGTTGTTTTCTAGGCATTTATTATTATTATTATTTGTGATAGTTGCTTCCTAGAAAACTTATCATGTGGTCTGCTGTAAGTATTGGTGATCGATGATAAAACATCATGTTCAAGAGAATAAAATGAAACATGAAAATGAGCACTACTAGAGGAGAAGGTGTCATGCTTCCCTCCACAAATCCAAAGAACATCTCCTCCTAAAAAATATTGGATCAATCACCATCTTAGAATATTTGTATATACTAAAAAAGATAGATATACCCTGCAAGTTGAACATGTGGGAGTGTTTGACTATTTCTCATCTCTTTCTTTGTTGCTTGAAGCATGTAAGGAATCATATTGCTCGACATCGATCTCTCATCCAAACTTCGTGCTTTACTCGTTGGAGGTACCTGAAAAGACATGAAACACAAGAATTATAACAAGTTGGCACCAACTACATCCATATAAATTACATGTTAAGAGCAGGAACAAGGGCAGCATCCTATGTCTCTCATCCTACCTTGTACTGCATGCTGCTTTGATTCTTCCAAGGCCCGACCCTCTTCTAAATCTTGTTTGCTAGCTCAACACATTTTTGTTAATTTAGTGGTGATTCATGTTTTTTTTTTTTTCCTTTAATTTTGTTTTTATGCTAAGTACTTTCTTCAATGTTCACATTCAAGGAAACTTAAAAAGGAAATAAGAAAAGAAGAAGAAGGAAAAAAAACGAATTCGGTGAGGCATTCAAAATATAAAATTAATTTTCTAACTGGCATAGCTCATTCTCCATCCCTGCAATAATTTATTTTCTAAGAACCACAATTATGAAAGTTCACATCATTGAATAGTTGGAAAAGGACATGATAGCCAGATAATGAAGTTCTGAATGATAAAGGAAATCTTAAGATACTGAGAAGATTGGCATCTCCAAACAACAACCATCTAAATCTTGTACTTACTATAAGCTAATCTTTTTAACTGATACTGTTGTGAAGAGGATAGGAGAGACAAATTCACATGATAATATTCTATATCACTAAAAAGTGTTATAATATTCTACAATCCATTTTTGTAGAATGGTTATACAAATTGAGAGAACATAAATATACACATCGTTAATACAAAGATTAATCTAACTAGCAAACATATGTTGATGTAAACAGTTATACACATCACAACCACTAGAATGCATTTGCACTAACAAAATGAAGAGCTTACTGCCTTGCTGGGGAACAAAGATGCCATTTTTATTACATACACTGATATCTACATGTTTGATCAACTTCAGTCGATCTTCTCGGGTAAGTGAAATATGTTGTAATGGTATTTCCACGCTCAAAGTTATCTGTGGTTACATTATCCACACTGACTTAGCTCAGCCTGCACAGAAAGAGAAGGAAAAGGCATAAGTTATCATCCATGTACAGACCACAAAAAGATAAACTGTTGTCATAGATATCGCTGCCAACAACACAATTAATTTTTTGGGTAAAAATGAAAACTTTGTAATAAGATGTCAGCTCTCTTATATGCGAACCAATAGATGGAAAGAACATGGGAAGCAGCAGTCATGAATTTGTATTTCGCTACTTGCTCCGTAAGGTGCTTTACATTTTTCAATATGTAGACAATAGTTTCAATAAAACATTTATGACAGTTTTTTTTTTTCAGAAGGAAAAAAATTAAACTTTAGTCAAAAGAGGAAGAACTATGCAAAACATCATCGTTCACATCTGAGTGAACCAAAAAGTCCAGCTCTGCTGGAGGATTCCCAACCCAAACCCTAGTATATTTGTTATCTTCTGCTAACCTAGCCAACCAGTTTGCAAATCGGATCCCTATGACAGTTTTGAGAACCATCAAAGTGTTCCTAGGATTCTTCTGGAGGAAATAAGAACCAATAACTGGACCTCAAATTCTCGATTCCCAACTAAGAATTATTCAGTTTCATTGGCTCATGATTTGTGCAACCAAAGACCTCCAAGGACATGTTTGTCTCAACTGAAAATTAAATAAAGAAAACAACAGCAAGAGAAAACAGAATCTGCTTATTTGCTTAGCACAAATCCACATTAACATGTGGCTTATATACTCTAATAGAGCCCAGACACTAGTGCTTTGGTTGCAATCACAATGTCAAAGCTAATCACCTGGTTTTTGACAAAGCTATTAAGATCCGATAGTATAGTTAAAATATTCCAATAGAAATGGCCAATGCAAAATTTCATACTACATGATATATGTGAACCTTTCATTCTTCATGCTGGTTCAATGGTATATCACCACCTCCACATTGGAGTTTGTTACAGCAGTTGGGAAAGCATATGGTGTCATATGAATATTAACTTTTATACCTTAGCTTGTTGGTAGGTTTCGAGCATCCGGCGGTACTGCAACCGTGCTTCAGGATTCTCTACCACAGATATGACCCTTGATAGAGCTTCATCCAGAGCTTTATTGACTCTTTGTTTGCGGAAAACCTTGATTACATCATCTTCTTCCTCCACATCAATAGGTTCCAGTTCAGCTCGGAACCCTCGTAAGCCAACTCCTTTTCTATACCACCTTAGCATGATCTTTTCTAGTATACCAACACTCCAAAGAAATTCTTTCTCCTTTTTCTTTGCTAGATGAGCTCTTACATGAGTCTGCCAATGAAAACAGAAAATAAAATGAATGCAACACCAAGTGACACATACTCCCTGAGAGTTTAATGAAAGGGCAACCAACTAGTATATACTCACCATCCTTTTAACTAAAATAATTTACCATGTTAATGATTTTAAAAGTTCTAAAAAACCATCAAGTACTCTGTCCAACCTGAAGATGCAAGAATTTTTGAGATTCCAGTTTTAATTTTCTTCTCAATGGGTTGAAAACTTGTGAGCACACTAAACTCAGGTACAACATTGTTTAAGAACTTGGTATTTGATAAAAAAAAGTATGATGTACAAGGATCAATTTTCATGCCTCAGATGCACTATAATTGACTTGATTTACAAACAATTATATTTCCATAGTTACTACCTCCAAGTGCCAATCTCTCTAGCAAACTAATATCAGGAATTAAGATTCTTGAACTTTAAATAATCTGGTCATATTTATTTTACAATATATATATATATATATACACACACACACACACACAAATAACATAATTTTCTTCCACGGATAAAAATTATGTTCAATAATTTTGTGCAAGTGATAACTCAATTATGAATTGATAAAAATGAAAAGTTCAATAACCTGTATCTTCACAACATTAACACGCAGTTTTATGAACTCTTTGCGTCTTCTCCAACGTCGATAGTTCTTTTGAATTGATACAGCTGCTTTATCAAACTTTTGATCATGATAACCAAAAAGAGTTTTATGCGACCTGGATGCAACTGAAAGTCCATGGACTTCTGTAGGAAATATATCATATATGCCTTGAAGTATATCAGTTTTTTGTATATTCTTCCTGAAAGAATAGGCACGGAAGGCTGCTTGTATACGGGCTGCAGCTTGAGTGGCATTTCTGACAGCTGCTAATGAATCTTTTAGTGAAAGCTGATCCTCCGTCCCACCTTGCAAGTGGGCCCTTCTCTCATATATGTTGTCCACACCTCTATCAGCTTCCATAGAAGCAGACCCTTCCAAAATCTTTGTTTTCTCAGTTGTAAGAGAAAAAAGATGAGTAGTTAGTGCAGCTTCTGAAAGATATCCAGCAAGACCTTTGTGACCATTATCAACAGCTAGAGAAGCTGGTGTTTTGCCAGCTGGATCTTCTGAGGTTGGATTTGTGACTGCTCCAGCTGAAGCACCAGCAGCAAGCAGTGCAGCAACCATTTCTTCCCTGCAAAATTATTAGAGGTTAGTTTGAAATTTTATGATTTAGGTCAATATCTTCTCCTTTAAATTATTTTGACAGACTATGTCATTTCTAGGTCAGTCTAAGGGAATCAATAATTTCATTGATTTCAGTCACCTTCCAAATCTAGCAGCCCAGTGAAGTGCAGTCCATCCATTTGAATCACGGTAGTTTATGCACGTGCCAGAGTTAAGAATTGGGTGTAAGGCCCACCGATATCCCAAGCCAGAGATCACGTGTATGATGCATTGCTCATGCTTGGACAACACAGAACCCTCATCAGGATTGCCCTCATGTTTGGATGTTAACCAATGCTGCAATTTATTCTTTAATAGTTCTTGCAGAACTAAATTTATTATCACTTCTGGAGGCTCTGACTCAACTAGGATTGATTCAATGATCAACTCCAACTGATTTTTCAGTCTTTTCTTCTCCCATGAAGGATTGACTTCTTGTTCACGCTCCAGTTGAGAAACTACAGTACTATGTCCAGAGAAAAGTATCTGCACTAAATTGACAAGCAACAAGAGTTCATTGGAGCTTTTTATTGCATCCGCTGGAGATAAGGCTCTACTGGAGCTTGTTCTTTCTTGCTTTTCCTGAAATACAAATTCATGTACTTCACTGCAGGGTTTCCCATTGCCAGATGTAATGCACAGTTTGACCTTTCCTGCCATATGCTGTGGAGACCGGCAACGTAAAACACCATCCTGAACAATTTCAAGTGGAACTTCAATATCTCCAAATAATACAGCCCATGCACACTCTGAAGGACTGCAAAGAAAGTTTCCTGTGATTAAAACCTGCAATATTATGATATCCAGTTGAGATGAAATGAAGAAATATTATCTAACAAATTACTCTCTTAAAGATGAGAATTCAAACCAACTGGTAGTAGAAAAGGATAGCAATTCCAAATATTTTTCATATGCTCAATTGTTTATGTATACAAAATAAAGAATAATTGGAATATGTCATAATAGCAAAAAATTAAAATTTGGTCATAAATAAAACATTGAAGTAAAATGTATTAGATCTTTCTTCATATTTTCTTACATCTGAATTACATTATACTATATTTAAGATGTTAATACAAAATTGAATATTTAAAAGTACACATTATAAAGTAATAAACTTATTACATATTGAGACACTTCCTGTAACACCCCCGATTAATCCTATATCGAAAGTGAACAAGATTAAGATTGACTTATAAAGTTATGATGAGTATATTATTATAAACTTCAACTTAATTATTTTGGTCAATGGTTTAGACCAAACGAAGTTGATAGGTCAGTTAGGCCATCAAGCCCAGGTTGTGACACTTCCTGCCATATAATTTGTTCTTGCATAAGATATCATGAAAGTAGCTATGCATATTCTGCATCATTATTTCATTATCTAGGTCCTTTCATATTGTTAGTACAATTAGACATAATTAAACATGATTAAATTAAATACTTATCATCATATATATGTAACCACAATTGTAATGAGAAAAATATCCTGTGGATCTTGATTTTTCATTTCCAACTCCTAGCATGCTTGCACAACATTACATAATGTCATGGAATTGACTTCATCAATACCTTTGTATTCTCAGAAGAAAATGCCCATTCAGGAGAGACTTCACGTATAGTAAACAGATGTCCTTGTGGCACAGTCAAACTCGGTTCTGTTCCAAAAGGCACTTCAAATTGACTCTGCTCATACCATATATCTGAATGGTAGGAGGCAAATGCACTATTTTCAGCTGAAATGGGAGCTTCATCCGTCCCTAGCTTCATACAACTGTGGTTAGCTACATAATAATCTGCTTCAGAAGAATAGCTTTGCTGAAACGGAGATCCATGAAGCCATCTAAGATTATCTGATGCTCAATGGTAAAAACAAAACCATCATCGATCATATGGAACTAGACCATCTTTAAGGTATAAAATGTCAATGTCAAACTCAGAAGCTTATAATATGCAAATATTAGCTAGTTGGCAGGTTAAATAAAATTTTCATGATTGTTGAATTCATTCTTTGTAAAGATATAACTAAAAGCGGCAACAAGTTCATATAGTGAAGAAAACTATCAACTGCTAATAGTTATTGACTAGTATAAAAAAAAAATTCAAAATTTGAATAGCTATCATAAAGGGCAGTTAAATCATTCGCTGATAAATGTTTAAAGTTTAAACTAAGTTAATAAAGGGCAAAAGGATTGATTCCTAAATTCTGATAAAATTTTCTTTTTGTGTAGAACTATTTTCTTTAGTTAAGTTAATCAAGCACCAAATAATATATACCTACCTACCTTAACCAAGAGAAATTTCAATCAAAACTTATCCAACTAGATCAAACAACACATACCTGAATTATTCAACAGATTATGCATGCTATCTTCGATATGACCATTTGACATTTGTTTAAATTCATCAAATGAATTTCGATGTGTTTCCTCTTGGGGGTTTCTTGTTTCATGATTCAGAATCTGTAAACCATGTGTTTCCACGTTTTGATTGCTGCATCGAAGTAGTTCCGTTTTGGAGCAAACAAAACTATCCTCATCATCAGTATCTAAACTTAACTGCTCTTCAATATTTCTCAGTGCTATATTGATCTCTGGCAGCCGTAACTCGTGACAAGATTCTGATCTTTCCATTCCATTTAACAGGGTTGTTCCATTACTTCCTCTATCAAATATAGAATTAACTTCTTCCACTGATCCTGGACTGCACGAATTCTGACAAGGTTCATTAAATTCACTAGTGTGAGAAGGAAAACATTGTGCTTGATCATTACTGACACTGGTACCATATCTCAATGTCAAAGAAGATTCATTTGAGATGCTTGAGGTTGATTCAGGCACATTTCTTCCCTAGATTGCACAGAAAACTATAGTTAAATCACTTGATGTTGCAACTAAACATTGTTTCATAGCAGCATGCTAACGTCAAAGAGGGAATGAGAAGTTGAGAACCATAATAATAATGATGATTTATGTAAGAAAATTTGCACTCGACTTTCAGTTTAGAGAATACAGAAGAGCTCTAAATAATCTTCATAAAAGCTGATCTTAATCTAATATCTTTCCAGTTATTTTGAGGACCATTATTAGAAAGTTCTGTATTCATATTTTAAAATTCGAGAATCAAAATGAATTTATAGATTTCATGATGACAGCCCAGTTGATAGTAGACTCAACCCTCAACTCATTCGATAATGAAAAATATTTTGCTTGCACTCAACGTTCAGATATCTCATAGATATACTTTCGACCTGACGTTTCAGGAAGCTTTTTAAGGGCTATAACTGGAGATCTTTAAAGTTATTCACATTTTGTACTCATAATCATTTTGAGGGCTACAGCTAGAAAGCTTTGAAGTCATTCACATTTTGTTTTCACATATAAATCCCTCGTCCTTAGATACATTAATTTGATTATGATCATTCCACAAAAATATGGTTTGTGCCAAAACGATTAAAAACAAATTTTCTTCTTTTTCTTTATAAATATTTCCTTATATTTTTATTAAAAAAGAAAAATAGAAAAAGAAGATGAAATAATTATAATGGATTTTAAATGAAAACCCATTTTTAAGTAAATCAATTGCAAAATGCTTTTGTAGAGTTTCTGATATCTCTTTTACATCTTCTATGTGAAAATATTCAATTCTCATAATATCTTCTTTACTCTTATTCAAAAGGTCCAAGAATTTGTGTATATTGGACTTTTGAAACAATTACTAGAAGGTAATTCTAATTGGTCTATAAAAATAAATTTCAATGGAATTTCTTTTTTGTTTTTGTTTAGATTAGTTAACCTATTTGAAAGGGGTATACTGTTTTTATAATTTTTGGAATTAACATCCTCTTCCTCTTCATGCAGAGAAGAGATAAATAAACCAATTAAATCATAAGAATCATCGGAAAGTACTCGCTTAGGAGTTAAACTTCCATTCATCCATATTTCTAGAAAAGGTATACCTGTTTTTCATTCCCGTTTGTATAGGATAAAAATAATATATTTTTTCCAGTTGGTTACGGAACCCATAACTTCATTTGCCCTGCCACCTTTTCCAATGAAAAAACAAAGATACAAATAATCATATAATATTCAAAATCTAATCCAATTGTCAAGTAATTTAATTATATAAATTCAAATTCACAGGATTGACCAGGTTTTATTTGATACTCTGTAGCACCACCAATACTAAGTAGAACAATTGAAAACTGAAGAGCATAACCAACTGATCAAGTAGCATTTCAGAATTCATGCAAAGGTTCACAGAAAAATGTGAAAATAGGTCTCCAAGGAGAGTGCTAAAGGATAGGTTGTCTCTTAGCTGCATGCTTGAGGAATAGACATTTTGATCTTTGATTGCCTCCTATGATGAAGTGTTTACTCTGAGACCCCTTCTAAGTTCACTCGCTTCTTTTTTTGAATAAATTATTATCATCTACCTTACTCATTTCAGAAAATTATAATTTAAACAACGGAAAAAAAAAGTATGTGCAGAAAATATAACAAACCTCAATAATTTCTCTGTAATGTACAAGAGCTATGTGCTCATAGGCCCTGAACACAAATAAACACACTATAAAAATTCTGTGAATACAGCAATATGGTTGCAAAACCAGATCAAGTTTAGACAATAAATCAGTTCAACCAACTAGTGTAACTTCAATAGAAAGGAATTTGTTCTAGTACCACAGGCTGTTACCCATTGAGTTGCTATTCAAACTTAGTAAAGCTCTTAGTCCTATCTTGTTATTTATTCTTAGTGAAGTATGAAGGAAACAACCATGAATTCAATCACAATACCACCATGGGATGTAAACTAGCATATATAGTGAAAATAAAATACAATTATGAAAAAAGATTGGTACTTCTACCAGAATAAAGAGGAACGGCTATGCTAGGATGTTGTCACAGTTGCAAATTCGGCTATGATTATATATTTCCACACCCAAGCTAAATTATATACTGAAGGACTAGTGAGTGTACACAGAATTATATACATCCACACCCAAGCTAAATTCCAGAACCAAAAATTGCAACTGATCACTCCAATGAACAAAAAAGGAAAAAATATACTTAGCAGAACAACAACTCCACAGTTGACCTTACAGAGAGGAGAAACCTGAAGCAGAAGATAAAATAAAAAAGAAAATCCACTATTAACATGATATCTAGAGAACTTGGTCAGCCATGATCAACGGTCAACACAGACTTCAAGATGCATATATATTGAAGAGCCATTGAACTATCTATCAATCCTCTCACTTCAAAGATGTCTGTGGAAAGTCATGAAGCCATAATCCACATTCCAAAAATTAGTATCAGAATATGGATTATATTCACAGGCACATGACATTTTTTGAGATTTAAAAAGATAAGTAAATGAGAAACTCAAACATATAATTGAGTATCCAATGCAGCTTAAAAAGATATCACTTTGATGGATTGTATATGATGCTTATTGTATCAATGTTTTGAGAATGTGAAATCTTTTGAGATGGCACTCAAAGAAGCTTAAATGCTGAACAAGTCCACTTCCATCACTTTATAAATCGAATTTAAGTCATGACTGATGAGTATCCAACATTTGGATCCACATCCAACACAGTTAATACATCTCAGGTCCAGTTGAGTGTCCAAGTAACACTGGATTTATTTGGGGGTTAAAAGGCCAGAACTAACTTATAATGTAAATAGAATATAAGCATGCAAAGTAATTATATTGTTTCTTCTTTAATTGCCACTTTTTTACTTCATATCAAAAAATCACAAGTAGAAGATTAACAAAATATAGAACGCGTCAGATGACACGGGGACTTGAAACTAGAGCGAAAACTGCTGTAACTAACAAGGAAGACAATGTGCTGTTGAGAGCTATAGAGATCAATGAATAAAACCTTCTATAAATATTTACATAACTAAGGTTCTATGGAGGAAATTCATAGTATTTCTGACAAGTTGGGTGTTTAACAAAAAAATACACTTTCGGCACCTATATATTTTTTCATGTATGCTTTAAAATAAATATCCTTTTACTATCCTCTAGAAGTTAGCCTACTAACTGCCTTTGGAAAATAAATTCAAAAGTAATTACATGTGTTAACCTTCATACATGCTCATTATCCATCGTTTCAAATTGCTTGTCATATCCATATTCCATAAATGTCCAACATGAAACTTTTTGGCATTCTTTTTTATATTGCTCAAAATATCCTTTTCATTTTCCATAATTGTTGCATTGATAGGATACTTATGGAATACTTCACAGATACTTCTTGGGAGAACCATGTTCTCTTATATGATAGCTTTTTATGTTATAGATGAGACGGGCATATGATTAGATAGATTGTTTACATGTTGTTTATATTATGCATCCAAAAATAATGGTCCTATCTACTCATCCAAAAATAGACGGGCATAAGTTCTTCAAGACAAAATTCATAATTTCGTATCGTACCGATATTTCAAGCTTTGCTCGATACAATACGGTATAAGCGTACCGACCGATATGCTAGGGTGTACCGGCCGGTGTGTGTATATATATATATAATATTAAAAAAAAGGAGGCGTATGCTGCCTCGGCCATGTCATCTCCTTTTCTTCTCCTCATCGCGTCAGACGAGGAGAAGACAGATCTTCTCCTCATCTACGACGTTTGGCGAAGGCGTCGAAGGCCACAAACGCCTTCGGCCTTCGGCGAGGAACGCGACGAAGGCGGCAGGTATCTCCAGCCTTCGACAAAGAAGAAGCCAAGCCGTCGCCTCTCCATTACCTTCTGGATCAGGATCGTCGGGGGAGGGTGGTGTCGGATCGGAAAGCATCGAGGTTCTCCCGATTCTCCCTCTTCTTTTAGCACATTCTCCCTCTTCTCCCTCGACGCTTCTTCTTCCCTCGCCGCAGCCAAGGAGTAGCTAGGTTGATACCGCCCGGTAGTAGGCGATTCGTGTACCAATTTACTGGTGGACCGATACGTACCGCGCAGTACGGACGGTATTATTCGAAATTAAAATCTTTGCTTCATGAATTATATCACAATTTTTTCATGATGAATAAATTAGGGATGGGCTGTGTACAGACATATTTAATTTATCACACTATTTTAGAAATAATCTCTTTATGAATATAGAGATAAAATTGTGTATATTGACTATTCTCGGATTCCACATCGACATGAGCCTCACATATTGATTCATCCTTTAATAAATTAGAGACAGTAGTAGTACATTATTGATTATTAGTATCTATCATGATAAGCATTTACATATTCTAACACCATTAAGTGATGTCAAGCATAGTCATTATAATAAATGTGCCTAAAATATTTTTCTGTCAGATTAATGTCATCTAGTAACAAATTTTCTCAAGATATGACATATCAATACATCTTTATCATACAATATAAGTTAAGGATTTAGATACTGAATCATACTTTCTATTTCTCTATATTCTTTAATAAATATATCTCCATTTCTTTCATAATGAATGAATTAGTGATGGCACATTATTAATTATTAGTATCTATCATGATAAGCAATTACAAATTTTTAACAGCATTAAGTAACATCAAGATTTGTCATTATAATATATGTGCCCAAAATATATTTTTTTACTGTCAGATATACGTCATATAATACCAAAGTTTTCAAGATTTGACATATCAATGCATCTACGTCATCTGATATTCATTAGGGATTCAGATACTGACCAAACCGATCAATATTGACTGGTCCAACCTCATATGACACAATATACCAAACATAGAATGAGGCATTCTTTAGTATTATCACAAAAATGGACCTGTATTCATTACTACTTAGTATCTAAATCTTTGGCAACTGTTTCATGTTTCAGGGAAGATTGCTCATAATAGGCAATAGCTAATCAGATATTATTAGATCCTATTTATGCTAAAATTAGATATTATTATCATGATGCAGGATCCAGATGAGAATTACAAAAGGAGAGGTAATAGTAATAGTTCTAGTTCTCCAGATGTACTTAGAGTTGATAATCTTACGGATCCAGCATCCAGTAGCTCCTCCTCTGAATACAAGAATTTTTCTCTCCACGGGCATAATAGCAATTTATTGCTTCAGAGTTCCCAACCTAGCCATGAAAGGACATATAACAAGAACAATGTATAAAAAGCACATCAAGAACAGTAGTATTACTGCTGTTAACTAAATGGTAATAAAATTATAACTAAATCAGAACTTTTCCATCAGAAAGAATGAAGAAAGATGAATAACAACTTGACCCCAGATGATAACATGGATATGGATCTAGTTCTTTCAAAAAGGACAAGGAAACTAACAAGAACTGTAATAAGTTCTGTGATATGTTAAAAATGGTACTAGTGCCAAACACACAACTCGATTTTATAACTGCTGAGTACTGACTACTTTCTGAGTATAAGTTTCATACTATGAAGAAAGAACTTAAATCTTGATCTGATACTCCTATTGGACTGGTCCAATACCGGTATACTAACTTATATTGTGTGATATCATTGAATAAAATAATAACAAAAACAAGGATAAACAGTATCATGCTGATGTTAAGCTATATATTCTAACACTAATACTTGGTCATGCCGGTAAATACTGATTCAGACTGGTATGGTCGAGATCCGAAACCTTGCTATGGAGGTACTCATTGTGGAAACCTCAGTATAATTCAATAAGCTTGAATTTCATGTTAATTTTTGAGTTGTAGGTCCTTATCACCTGTTTCAATCTAAAAGATTCCTCATTGCAAGATTAATAGGTATATTTGAAATTAACTCCCATATCTATTACCTCATTGAAAGGTAATAGATATGGTGGCACTATCCAAGTTATTTCTATTTTCTACAAGGTTTTAAATCGGCATTGAAGAAGATAAAATTTTGGGCTGAGATGCTAAATCTTTAAGCTACATAACAGTTTTGCTTATAAATTATTTTTTCAATAAACAGCTATACGACAGGAGACAAGCTAAGTATGACTAGTAAAGGATAAACTACAAGCTAAACTCTGCAGAAACTTTATGGCTCTATTATGAAAAAACACTTCTCGTAGAACTTGAAATAAAATAAAATAAAAGCATCAATATATCAAAAGGTTATCAACACATACCTTAAGACGCTCATGGCCTTCACGAGCAGTTTTACCATTTTTCTTTTTCTGCCATGAGTATCCATCATTACGAAAATAACGAAGCACTCTACGGTTGAAAAGGAACAAAGAACCACCTGTCAGAAGAAATCAAATCAGCACCGTGCTGACGTAGTTAGAAGATGACCCTATTTGAGCACATCATCATAATGTACATATAAGATATGGAAGAGTATGTGCATTACTAGGTGGCTTCTGAGGAGGCTTCTGGGTGATCTTAAAACTTTCATGTTTCTGCAGAATATATAAAACTTCTACAGGCTTCAACCACCGGGACTGGGCTTCTTCACTTAACTTATTTATATCAAATCCTGTAACAACACGAGAGAAAACAACTTATATTTGTTTGAAGAATCCCAATATTCAGTCAGTCCGTACTAATTATGACAAAATACTTAAAATGTTCCACAAATTATGAATCTAATTTCACTTGTTCCTTAATTTGACTTGACATCCTCGACCTATCTAAAAGAATTGTTGAGATGCTGATGATATGTACGTAGTCAATCAGCTTGCATGAACAGAAGTCCCCAAAGAGTGAAGGATGCAAGAAGCAAAAAAGTGCCAACCTAGACTGACCATGCCTATATGTCAGAATTCTGTTGGAATGTTTACACGATGGCTGGATGATTTAATTGACTTCACATGTTATACATTTCAGCAACCTAAGTATTCTCCCCCAGTTGACCGTCCAGCGCATAAGCATTCTGTCACTTACTAATTACAACAGCTGATGCACAGAGATAAACTGCATCGACTCAGGTAGGTTGATGTCAATGACACAAATCAAATTTCAGGAAACAAAGTGAAATCGATCCCCTAATTTAAGTAGAAAAGAATCAAAGACCGTTTCAAAAGCAGTAGAAGCAGAACTAGGAAGTACATCCATAGTCTCGGAAGCACGATCATAGCTTGAATTTTCAGGACCATTTTTTCCGTGATCCACGGTTCAGTGAAAAAGAAGGCGAACTAGATGAGCACCAATTCGCAAAAAGGTCACAAAGTCGAAATTTTGGACGTTAACCGACGTTATTTAAGGAATCAATATCTTTGCCAAACCATTCACAAAGAAGAATCTAAGTTCCTGTTCCGATATTATCCACCAAACTCCACTCAAATTCTTATTCGTCGCAGAAATAAGAGACCTACAGGAGCAGCCATAGCCTAAAAGCAAAAGAGAAGAGAAAAGAAAAAGAAATCGGAACATACCCGCCTGGATCATACCCATCCTCGGCTTCCGGGAGTCGGCCTCGGATCCGATCGCAGGGAGCTGAAGCTGCGGGGAAAGGAATCAAATCCCGAGGGCAGAAACAACGGCGGAGTCCAACAGTGGTCTACCGACTCGGTGAGTAAGCAAAGGGGAAGCACCGAAGAAGCCCGGAGGAAGGAGAAACCAACACAAAACAACTAAATTCGCCCCCCCTCTCGCTCTCTTCCTCTCTCTCTCTCTCTCTCTTCCAAACGTGAATTAAAGGGGCAGAGCAGAGAGACGAAAGAACGACGACAACGGTAGAAGGGTCTTAAACAAATACAAATTTAATACCTATACCTGAGAAATAACACAGAAACGGCGGGAGACAGAGAGAGTCGACAAGTGGATGGTTACCCAAGTCTGCATTCACTTTTTATGATCGTTACTTCACAACCACTTCCATACATTATAATGGGTTCCTTTTTACGTATTTATCCTTTCCAATTTTAGAATTTGCATATTTATACCCCAATTTATTTGCATTAAGGTATACATATAATATATATATATATATATGGAGTTACAAATGTTAATGTAGTGTATCTATTAAAATCCGTTTCAATATGGCGTCAGAAAAATGTTGATTAATTACTTCCAATCATGGTTAACAATTAATTTATTTATATCAAGCAAGAATGTATAGATGTACTAAAATAAAAGATTATTAACATATAGAAAAACCTAAAATATGTTTAGTTTTATGTAAAAGTATTTTGATTCTTAAATTTGTATCACGGATATTGTGCATATTTGTTTTAGTTATCTCTAAGCCAACGTGATACTTGAGGAGTTTATTTTAACCATAAGTCACCGATTAGATTAGATTAGATTAGATTAGAAGGAAATAAAAGTCTTCAAACTGTTTTTTACTCAAAGCCCTTGTCATCTCTCTCTATCTCACACTTGGTCTCCTTCCTTGTTAACACTTTTTTTATTGGCCATTAGATCCGACGAAGTCCTACGTTGGTTGGTTTGTTTGGTTTTTTCTAGTCCAAGAGTAGTTAGGCCTTTGAAGGAATTGGTTGATGTTGACGTTGACCTACGAGAACAACGAAGAATGAATGGATGGATTATTATATAGTGTATTATTTTGGATCTTTTGTTATATGAATGTTTAGAACTTATGAAATCTATGATTGTAATTTATATTGATTATAAAGTGTTTATTGAAATGATTACTTATTGATAGCGAATGAAACGTTTTCTTTAATCTATTTTCTCTTTTGTAAGTTCTAAGAGACCATAAAAGGTTTCAGAAAGATTGACGTTTGTAAATGGACACGTAAATATGTCGCATAATTTAGGTAAAATCAATTAAGTATCCAGTTTCATTCAAACACTTCCGCTAATGGACAGGTGACAGGTGAAATGTTCGTCTCCTCATATTAGAACTGACACATAGCAATTTAGTCAACAAAAAAAATAAAAAGTCTACGATCCATCAAGTCATCAAAATCTAAATAAAAAATATTTAAACTTTTTTTATTACACAAAATAGTCTTCCTAATTATAAATGCTAGTGGATCGACTATAATAATAAGTAAACCAAGACCTAGTCAATGAGGTTGGATCATTCTCTCTTTTAATTTAAACAATATCTAAAGAATCTCATCCGACATCGATCTTGAGAGCAAATCTCCTCACACCAGGAATTATAAGATTGTAGCAGTAAAATTTCATGCTAAAAGATGAGCATAAAAGAAATAAAATAAGCAGAAAAGAGCAGTTATTTCATCATTTTCTTCCTCATTTATATGCACATATTTCAAATCCTTCACTCTAAACATAAGTGGCGATGTGGCATAGCCTCTTCTCTTTTTCTCTAGTATTTCTAGGATTCTTTCTCGCTGATTTTTTCTTCTTTTCTCTACGACGACAAGCAAATAAAATGATTGCATCTATCATCACAGTCACCGGATTCATGGCTTTCCTCAAACACGTCCGTTTAGAGAACGGATGTATGATAAAGAAAACACAGTTCTCAGTGCCAACCTACCACTGTTTTACTTAGACTTTAATCTTGCGTGTGAGAGCAGACTCCACCGATTAGGCGAAGCTAATGATGGAGGATGAGGTGGGTCCTCATCAAGCACTCATCCTTGTCGCAAGTGCCCGAGAAATATTCGAGTACTCGTCTTTCTCGCAAGAGCCGCAAGGGAGCCAGTGAAAGAAATATTCTGGCTGAATCTGATGTTTCGTTCACACAGCATGACAAATGCATGCAGAAATGTCCACCTCATGAGATGGGAGACAAAAGTCGTTCCTGTTGCGGAGGAGATGTGGGGGAAGGGCTGCACGCAGAAACCTCAACGAGGACAGCTGCAACACAAACTCGCAGGAGAAGGTAGCTATCATGGATACGTAGCGGACCCGTTAGGGCGAAAGTGGACGCAGGGATCGGTCCTCGTCAGAGAAACTAATGCAAATGTGTTCACATGCATCCCTGCCATGAAAAGGAAATGGCATTGTTTTAAGATACTACAACTGTTCTCCATTTTTTGGTCCATCGATTTGCATAGGATTACAACATCTCGTCGCTCATGCTTTTTATGTTTCTGATAATAATATTATTATATTTATATTACGTGCAGCTGAGAATTAATTTCGTCCAAAGACTGATTGCTTTTGGAAAGGAACACATCGATGATCAGGTTTTCAATGGCTTAATTGGATAGATTCAGCAACCGAGGACGTGGCTGATTGGGTGTGGTGCACGTCAAAGCTACTTGTGTTGGTCCATTTGGGGTGAAGCGGACGGATGATGTTTTGATTGAGTGGTGTATTCTTGGAATTATTCACTAGCAGCAACTTCTTTTTTAAGTAAAATTTGATTGGCTCAAAAAGGATTTTTATGTTTTAAAAAAATTTCAATTGGAGGAAAAGGATTCCTTGTAAATTAAGGATTTCATCTCTTAAAAAATAAATTAAAAAATTTAGAGCTTTTTTTTTTTTTTACGATAGACGTAAAAAGAGTGGAACAAAATTTATGAGAGATTATGTATAAAATGATATGAACATGTATCATTAACCATTGAGACAGCATAATCGTTATATAATAATGAGATATCATTAACCATTCAGCATTCCGTGAGCGGATCAATCAATGAACTCATTCTCCAATGAGCACATGTACTATATCCCTAGTATCTTCATACAAATAGATATGAGACTAATTACCTCCATCATATGGACAGGTATAGAACACACTAGTATATCCGATTATCACGATGTCCTTCTCGAGTAACCTATGATCAAAATTATTTATGATATATATTTAAAAACGAATCATTCTTATTATCGTGATCTCATCATGATCTGATTCTCATCGATATATATATATAGTAATAAAAATACATATTTTGTTGCACGTGTCATCACTCACGTAAGATGGTTGGGCCCTCACTAATATAATATAAAATATAAAAACTTTATTCACTCCATTCTCAATAGTGAGGGCCAAACTTATC